AATTAAGTAATAGCAAATTAAGTAATAGCTAATTAAGTAATAAAAAATTAAGTAATAAAAAATTAAGTAATAAAAAATTAAGTAATAAAAAATTAAGTAAAAATAAATTAAGAGATTAAAAAACACCAATGACGATTTGCGTAGCAAACTAGCGAATATCACTGAACCCCTGAGCGCCTGTTTAAGACTAAGGGATCATCGTTCGCCGCTTGCGTTGGCGAAGGGTCGCGTCAGAAATATTTCGTCTAAATGAGCCCACAGGTGCCGCTTAGAGGGCCGGGCTTGCCAAAACGCGCACGCGCTCCCAACCGCCGCCGCCACCGCCGCAGCCGCTGCCAATAGCCCCTCCCCTCCCCCCGGTGGGCGGGGCGAGCGGTGCACCTGATTCACACCTCCGCGCAGACATAAATGCCGCCACACACGCGCAGCCGGCCCGCCCCCTGCCTCCCTCCCCACGCATTCCGCAGCCCGCAAATCCACAGGAATCCCCGCCAACGTGCAGTGCCTCCGACTGGGAGACACTAGGTTCCAGCCCCGACGGTGGTAGGAGTTTCGACACTTGCTAGATAGCTAGGTCGAGTTCTGTCGCTGTCTGGAGCAGAATTCTAGCGGTCAGCTGTTCTGATCGGTAGATTTCTGTGATTTCTGCAATCAACACTAATGTATGCCGAAGCACTATCCGACAACCGGGCCAAGGACCACACTATCTTTCATTCCCCTTCGTTGTGCTGTCCTCACCTCCTTACTTACACACACTTACATTACCATGCGCTGCCTCACCACACATGACGGGAGATCGGTCGGGAGCTTAGAACTTGTCCCTTAGTCATCTCAAGCTAAGAACTTGAGAATGGGAAATGCCTGGATGGGAAAACCCCGCTTGCCAGTGGTAGGTTGGCGCCGGTTCTCTCGAACTGGCTCCGGTCGGGTCCGATCCCTCTCCAAGATCATCGCCATACTCCGAGGGGGAATCATGCACTATACTTACGATACTAATAAACTTAGCAGATAACGCGCTCGAAAGCACATATCAATCGATGAAATCCCACTAACGTTACGGTAAGCTGTGCCGATCCCCAACAACCGATATATTTCCCCAATCCATTACTTCCCTCCACAATAACACTGGTCAACACGATTATTGTCTCATGAGTACCAATAGATGTACTTAATTCAGTTTTTAATATGTATGTGTGTGTGTATGTATACGGAATTTCTCCATTGCTCACAGTTTGGTTTGTTATTTTTATTTTTTAAATTATTTTAAAGTGTTTTTTCACCCATTTACCTAATATCAAAGAAAATATCCTAGTGCTTTGTAAATATGATGGAACCAAATGAGGTAACTAAAATAGGAAAGTTGCTACTAACGTGATCTAGAGTACACATTCATTAGAACTACGGCAGTTGTGAGTGTTTTGTGTGTATGAATTGTATATTTCATATTTACATATTTATTTTTGAATTTTAACTATTTGTTAGTTCCAAAATGCCAAGAATTTGTTTAAATCATCCAAACAATTTTAGTTTTGAAAGTAGAGAAGTGATCATAGATTTCTCTGAAGTTAGTTTCAAAGCCGTACTTCTGCTTTGGCAATAAATTCCCGTCACCACCTGCGGCGCACTCTCCTAGTATGAAAGAAACATGGGAACTTCAAATTTACATTCGAAAAGCTTAAATATATAGTATATGAATGGAATATTTGTGGTGTTTATTTGCTACTAGGTTACACAAAGTACTGTTGTTTTTTTGTGTGTGAATACTATAATATGGACCGAAAACAAATTACATTAAAAATAATTGCCTAAATGCGAATCTTACATTCCTGAACACAAAATGTGAAACATGACATATTATACAATCCTGAGAATGTGTAACTGCTTCCTTTACATATAAAATTAGAATTAATTGGTTCGGTTAGGAGTTATTTAGCGATATGGATTAAAAAACTCCTGACGAGTGTGCTGGGGGTTGCATTCGAAATGAATATTTAGTTTTGTTGTACAAAGCCATCTGGCGAATTTTTCCGATATTTTAATACTTAGTCTGTTATTCGGAGCGGGGATGAATCTAACAAATCAGAGATTTAATTTTCGTCAATTACAGAAATATAAAAGGCAAAATTACAAAACAGCAACAAACGCACTAAATTTCAAAACCTGATACAAAGATTGAACATTTTAAAATTGTCATGTTGGTCGTACAAGTAATTAGCTTTTTTGGAGAGAATGATCAAAAGAGAGAATATTACGGTTTGCCTTGTAGCTAGACTAAATATCTGAGCGACTACTAACAATAGAGCTACACCTTGAATGCTGAAAGGAATCATATGGCTAGTCTGTGTTCTAACATTGTATGTGTTTCCTCATCGCCTTCGATACAGTGTATACCTTTCTAAAGTTCAGCGCTTTCGGTTTTATTGCTCAGAGCGTTTGTGGATAAATAAATACAAAGCCAACAAATACCATGATTCGAATAATTCGAGAAATACAATCCTTAATTATATGCACAAAGCAGGATGTAGCAAATAATATTTTACTACAAAGGCCGATAATGGTATTACAAATACCGCATGGGACAGTTCCAAGGAATCCTATCTGCTTCAAAGGTGCTAGTCCCTATGTGTAAGCGTCTGCTCCTTCTAAAAAAGGTAACTACACCTTGAATGATGAAAAGATAGATACACATTCTTGATGCTTCTTCTGTTATGTGAAAAGTTCGAGGTTTTCGCATGTGGGTCTTCACTGCCTGACAAATATTCTATTGCCTGCCGAAATTATCTCATAGTGATATATGCTGGCTTCAACTCACAGGAGTTGACATGCATTCTTTTGACAATCAAACGTCATTAAATTATTCACAAACACAGGACTCCGCGATAATAAATTACATTTCAAATTAATGAATGTAGTTATTGATCACAATTGATCGTAATTGTGTTTTTCTGAGAGAGAAATTATGGTAAAGTAGTTATTAATTTACAAGAAGGGTTTTCTATTTTAAATTGATGTTTTATTTTCAATGGTTTAAAATCAAACAACGTAAACTCCAAAAACTGCCATAATAAGTTATAAAAAATATTCTTTACAAAGTCAATCACACCAGCTGCAAAATAGTGATTTATTTCCGCGAAGCGCTGACTCTACTTCTGTGCTGGCATACGGGAATTATTTCTGTGCTTAACTTACCATAAAGAAGATGCAGAAAGCGGTGTCCTTCAGGTCACATGCATTATCGACACCTACGGAAAATATTCTAATTCTTCTTTTCTGATGAAGCGTGGTTTCATTTGAGTGGATGCAATAGAGAAAACAATCGCTATTGGAATGCAGAAAACCTTCACCTGCTTCACGACGAATAATGTGGGTTAAGTTCTACAAGAATTATAGGACCTATTTTTTCTATCACCGCAACTGTTAATGTTTACATAAATCAGATATTGATATTATTCTTCGAGCAATTGATACCACAAGAAAGGCTCTATTGTTCCTTCCAACAGGATTTGGCAATTGCTCACACTGCTGTTCGATTCATGACATTGTAAAATACTGTTCATAGTGACGATGGAATAATTCTTCGTGGATTATGGTCGCCTAGATCACCTGATGTGACCTTTCTGGTTTGGGGGATACTTGAAAGATCGGGGGTACGCAGAAAACTCACATTTCGAGGAAAAGCTCCGGCGCTCTATTGAAGAGAAAATCGCAGCAATTCCTCAACATTCACATGAAAAGTAAATCAGAATATGTTCCGGATGTGCCAGGAATGCATTCGAGCCAATGGACACCGCTTTCAGCATCTTCTTTACGGTAAATTAAGCGCAGCGAGAGATCCCGTATGTCAGCACGGGAGTTGAGTCAGCGCTTCAGTGGGCGAACGGACCATAGTCTTCCCGGTCGAAGAGTCCCGATCCTTTGGCGAACGATAGAATACCCAGCACTAGGAAACTCATGTAATTATATTCCAGAAGTTATTAGTTCTTTTACAAAGTAAATTTATCATTAATATTAAAGAAGAAATACATTTATAAAAATCTTGATTACTTAAATAAAAATGTTCTTAAATTTTATTTTTATAAAAATAAGGGAAACTAGTATTTTTATCTTAAATAATGATAATAAATAATTTGCGTGTAAAAAAACGCTTTCTTCCGATTTCAGAAGTCTTGTAATGTTATCTTCTAGAAAGGCATCTGTCGATAAAAAAGATCATAGTGAACGTGGGACTAGTTCGTCAAAAACGTGGGCACCTGTGTTCCCATCGAAATATTCGGAAGTACTGTAACTATTCAAAATTCATTTCTTTTCTTTAATTATTTGATTTTTTCTGGGTCTTTCCATTGGCCTCAGCATAGGTGATCTCCAGGTGGGGGAGTGTACTACACAGTGAGATAAAAGTTTCTTTTTGCGGAAACAATCTTACGTTTTTAAAACAAAAAAAAATCTACAAACAATTTGTCGACATTTTTCAAGGTGTATATATGAAATAATTATAAACGTTGTCATTGCCAACAATAGTATTTACTATAAGAGCAGCTTTCGATGGATTAACCATCATCATCAGTTGTCTGCTGAATGGTCGCGAAATAAACGACTACGTAGTCGTTTGATGATGATGGCTAAGCCATCGAAAGCTGCTTTTATAGTAAATACTATTGTTGGCAATGACAACGTTTATAATTATTTCATGAAAAATGCCAACGATAACGCACCACAACACCTATATTCTAAATCTAGTCAAGTGTATATATGAATTACAAATGTTACGATTACTTCACAATTTTTTGGGTCACGATTTTTTCTTTGAACGTATGTGTCTCACTGAGTATCACACACTGCACTACCCTCAACAAGGCGAGACTTGCAGAGAATTTTGTCAATACTTCATAATTAAAATACACAAAAATGGAGTTAAAGACATTATTTTTATAATGAGTAATATTTTAAAAAATAAACACTTTTTTGCTAGAAATAACCTTTTTTTATTTAATACTTCTTTTACTACTTATACTCTCACTAAACTTTGTTTACTTCAACAGCAAAGACACGAAAAATGCACATAGATTTTACATTTAAAATTATAATGATAAAAAATAATATACAATTTGAAATCCTGAAAAAATAGTAAAATAATAAAATAAAAATAGGGTTCTATATTTCCAAGAAAAGAAAAGCAGTTTTAGTGAATGTGAAAATTTACAGACTGATTTGGAAAACTTATAATCCCTGAATGTTTCTTATTTGTCTTTTATCCTTGTTCTGCGAGTATCACCAGTCAACCAGCTTTCTAAACATTGTTATTTGACAACAACTAACACGTAGATTAATTTAAAGATAATTGATTAAAAAAACAGTGCACTTATTATACATAGTCCAAATCGCAACGTAATTTGACAACTTTGAGATATAAACCACTTTGAACTTTCCAATTCTTAAAACATGAATTTTTCCTCTAATAAATTCATAGCACGACGTGATTACATTTGTCATAAGAAAAATACAAATTAGCAGTGTTATCACAACAAATACACACACATCTTTTTCCACTTTCAATCTATGTTCTTAGTGTTCAGTGTGTCTCATTATGCACAACGTTTCCCCAGCGGAATAGCATGGGTACGCGTCTGTCAAACACCGCGAGTGGAACATACTTCAGTTAACGAGTGGGATATTTCGGTCTATCCATTGATTGGTTAGTTATGGCGCGTCATGTGCTAAGGTCATTAGTGCTGTAAGTGAAGTGCATTTTTTATCGTGGGAGGTGGTGATCGTCTTTGCTCGTTGACTGACGAGATCCATGCCGTCTGTCGTCTTGCTGGGATTTTTCCCAAACAGGAATCTCTGACCAGCTGGGCACCGCCCCAGCCGAGAAATTCCTAACTGGTCTCCCGACATGTGTGGTAATGTAGAGAATATAAGTGTAAGTGTGTGTAAGGTGGGAGTATAGGAGAAGAAAGAGGAAAGAAAGAACGCGCGCGGTTCGTGACCCGTTTGTGCGGGTACTGCTCCGGTATTAGACTGGTGGGATTGGAAAACACCGAGGAAAAGCAACTATCAGAGCAGCTGGCCGCTGCAATGCTCCGTTACACAGAAACTTAGCTATCAAACAAATGTAGAAACTGTTACCGTCGCTATCCCAACCCTAGGACCACTCGGTCAGAGGAACCGATGCCCAGAGCCACTTCACCTCCGAGCGACGCTACACACAGCAACTGAATTCTACCTAGCCATCAAACAAATGTCTAAAATGTTTTTGGCGTCACCACCCCAACCCTACGACCCCCCGAGGAGCTGATGCCCTGAGCTACTCTCCGAGCGACGCGTTGCAGGGCGCGGGGCTTGCTGCGGGGGCGGCGGGGCGGAACTGGAGCACGACGGTGAAGTAGCCGACGACGGTGGCGAGCAGGCCGGCGAAGAAGCGCAGGTCGAGCGGGAAGAGGCCGCCGGCGGAGAAGGCTAGCGGGCAGGTGCGCAGCTGGTCGAGCAGCAGCTGCGCGCGGCGCTCGAGGCGCGCGCAGCCCTTGGCCGCCACCAGCAGCGCCCTGGCCGCCGCCGCCGCCCGCGCGCCGCCCTCCGCCGACGCCGCGCCGCCCGCCCACGCCACGCCCCACGCCAGCGCCATCTCGAACGCCATGCACCTGCGCAGCCACGGTACGGATGCGACAACCGCGTCAAAACATCCGCAATTTTAACGAAACATCGACGTTGTAAACACCTCTTTATCAAATCCGGTGTTTTCAAAACATCGATGTTTTTATAGAATCATAGACGTTTTAACCACACCTATATTAAATCCGATGTTTTCAAAAAGTCGACGTTTTAATATATATCAAGTTCTTAAGATATATCAAGTTCGGTGTTGTCAAAACATCGACATGTGTATAGAAACATGTAGTTTTAAAAATCGATAAATTAAATATTGTGTTTTTAAAGAAACATTGACGTTTTAAACATTGATATATTAAATATAATCAGTCCTAGAAATGAATGATATATTAATGAAGAATCGATATATTAAATTTGATGTTTTCAAAACATCAATGTTTTATAGAAACATTGCAGTTTTAAACATCAATATATTACATCAAGTGTTTCCAAAACATGGATTATTTTGTCAAAAAATCGACGTTTATGAACATCGATAAATTAAATTGTTTTCAAAAGATTGACCTGTTTATAGAAAAATAGAAGTTTTAAAAATTAATAAATTAAATATGATGAATCATAGAAACATAGACGTATAAAACATCAATATATTAAATCCGATATTTTCAAATATCGATGTTTGTGCTCGTTGCTTTGTTTGCGAATGAAATGCTGATATAATCACAATTTTTTAATCGTTAAAATATGGAATAAAAGTTGTATCGTTGTCAGTTTATGTGATCAAAGCCAACATACCCTCGCTTCATTAAGCGGGCTACCTCTTGTCCGTGTTAAACCCAATGCCTTCTCCGTATTTCCCACGTTTTTCCTCGTATTTCGTGCATGGAGACGTGGCCTACACATATGGCAGGGATGTGGGGCCTCGGACTGTACTCATCAAATCCTTCTTCGGCGAATTAAATTTTGAATGATGGCCCTGCGCGATCAGGATTATTTTTTTCTTTTCTTCTTATTAATTTTGTAACTGATTTAAGTTGAATATTAGTTGTACATTTATAAACTCGGCTTCTGTCAAATTCAATTTTATTGCCCGGGAATTTAATTGTAGAGGTCACTAAACCAGCTTTATGATGTATAAATCATCGATGGTTTCTCGTCGTACTATCAAAATCAATATTTAAATTATTAACATCGATGCATCAACATGGCAACTTTCAAATTGTACACTTCGATACAATGTTGGAAACATACAGATGGGTGATTTCATGCCGTGAACAAACCCTACTGTGTTCGTTATAGCATTAGTAATAAATATTTTCCCTTACTGTTTTGGATTCGGAATCATGGATTTCAAATCCAATTTTGTAATTTGTAATTTTGTAATTTTCCTGTACGTGGCTGAAATTAAGTGCGCATTTTCAAGACTCGAAGCCCTGTTGTATACTCCGGAGATCATTAAATTGCAAACAATACTTACACTACAACTCTGACTAACTTTTTGATGGCCTACGTACGTACATACATAGTACAGAGAGAAACAAACATTTCAAGTTAAAAAAAAAGCATAAACAACGATATTTTCTTCAATAAGATGAATAAATGTTGAAGTCGTTTTCTAATGAACGCTTTGTTGATGCAGAGTAGTTCCTTGACGATTTATCTTTCATTATACAGCCCAGACGTTTGTGCTTAAAATGAGTCGAAACGCTAACACTATTACTAAGTGTTGCCGGATAAATAGTCTACATTTTTTGGAGACAATAAATAAAACAATTTCTTTTGAATTGACAGAATCAGGGTGCATATTATGACAACCCTGACAACCTATATCGAGCGCATTCCGCGATTGGAGCCGACTTTAGTCCGTCCGGACCTTACCCGACAGCCAGACGTCAGAATTGCAATAGAATCGCTGTTCCCAAATGTCGGTAATGGCCTTCGGAGATTGCAGCAGTTCTTAGACGTTGTCAACGCGCATAACGTTCCTGTAGTACACAGACTATGACGAAATTAGTAAATTAAAAAAACTTTCTACTGGAATTTACGTTTCTGAAATCCAAACGGCGAAGGAATTATTTATTGATAATACTATTTGAAATACGCTGGTATGTTTTTATCGCTTGACATGACTCGCCTGTATTTATTGTATATATGACGGAATTAATAGGTGAGATTCAAATGAAACCAAGTCTTCTGTGCCAAATATATTAACAAGCTATTTTTTGTGAAATTAATATTAGTTTATGACATACCAGTACTAAATTATTGATAAAATTTTGTATGACTAAGGGGATTCATAATTTACCAAACCGTTTGAACCCAAAGTTGTCCTTTTTAAAGAGGTTAAAAGAAATGTGTTGCACAGAGAAACTGTGTATGTCTATCAGACATCACATAAGTATTTTTCTGTTCAAAGATTTTACTGTAGAATAAAATTGTGTTGTTTCGTTATGTTTATTGATATGAAGAATTACCTTAACATAACCTTACCAGAACTGGTAGATAAGAAAGTTTAGAGTTATTAATTTCGTTTTCAATATGAAATTTAAAAAAGATATATTTATTGTGTCTCGTTTATCACCGTAGGGTCGCAGAACATTCTTTGAATTATTGAATTGAAGCCTTATTTTACGTGGCGAAACTCGGGCCATAAGGCCCGCTCTTTCGTCTGACCACGCAAATTTCGCAACGCTCCTTTTTCTCACTAGCTAGAAAGGAGTTATCACTTGGACGACGAAACGGGCGATTTGAATTTAGGTCAGAGGCATCATGATCTTTTATATGCAGTAAATCTACTAACATGTGACTGCCGGCTTTACTTCCCCTCCGAAGGAAGGCGTACGAAGGATTGTTTCGCCCTTAAATATCCACCGCTGCGATAGGGTTTGAACCCGCCAACTTGGGTATAACAGTCTGATACGCTAACCATTACACCATCGCGCCGACATTCTTTTACTTGAAATGGTGAGTGGACTTTTATTTGGGGGGGGGGGGAGAAACGTTTAGTGAATGTATATTTGGCTTTTGGAAAATGTGACGTTTCAAATCATGCAATATTTTGCAGCCAATCCTTTAAATTTGAAAATTGTATTAGGATGCACGTGAAATAACAAACATATTCACACTTACGCAATTCGATGACCTATTCCATTAGATGTCAACTGACCAGTGACCTGGAAATATAGTGTTGAGACGAATAATATCGTCAAAAAGATATAAATCAGTAGTAACAGTGGCCCAAATATTTGATCAACAAGTTCTCCTGCTTCTTGCACCAACAGATGAAAATTACCTAAAACATCAATTCTTTGTTCGAGGGCATGAAATTCTGCTGTATCCCAGCCATCAGAATGTCGTTCTGAATGAACAAAAATGGTTGTTTTAAAGCTGTATTCTCTTGTCTTCTCTCGTGTGAATGATAAAATATCCAATTTCTTCCGTTCTTTTATCATATTGGATATTGTCATGATTTCTTGATTAAATATTTGAAATTTATTTTTGATGAGAACACACAAATAAAAGAATAAACAAGATGCACAAGAGAGTCCTATAAATGACCAAGAAGCGTGTAAACTGTAAGAAAGCGGATAACGCCAAGACAAACAAGCAAATGTTGTTTCCAATGGGACAACCACACACACCACAAAAATCAACCCAAAAACAAACGGGCGATTGAAAAGTGTGGGTTGATCTTTTCCACTGAAAGAATCCATTTTATGTAGTCTCAGTAAGAGCACTTCACATCGAGATTTGTTTTTAAATGACATTGTCACACAGATGTACGGAATTATCGATGAGAAATTCTTCAATAAAACATGCAGGGAATATTCCAGAAAGTTGTGTGTATTGGCCAATAATAGCAAATCTTCCAAAGCAATATAGAAGACGAAAACAACTGTGTGCCAGCATAAATGGAAAATAATTATAACCACTGCTAGCTTATTGAAGATTAATTTATAGGGAGCCTCCAGCTTGTATGGGGCAACTCCTAGAACCTGCGCGACTATCAGCAAGGGTTCAATACCCCGAATAACTGAGGGTAATGAGTATTTGGTCATTGCAAGACTGTTTTTTTATTCTTCTCAACGCTGAAGCGCCTCTCCACTCACTGTAAGTTACGTTCGTAAGTCCATTGCTGTGAGAGGCATTCTTACGATCGAACACGCCAAAACACGTCTGGTTCTGACGGACATAATGAACTCTCCTTATTATAAACCTTCAACTTGGCAGGCTCATTTATTTTCACGAATATTTTCTCCAACACTCAAAGGGGAGAAATCATTCAATTTTTGTTTTTCTCCTACCTAAATTATTCATATATTTGTATTTTCATTAGTCTAATATGCATAACATGAGCCTCAAGTAGTAGAACAACATGTAAAATTTATATTAACAATGTATATTATTTATTCAACAATTTCCGCATCTTTATTTGGTTATTGCAAACCGCACGTTTTATCTGAAACAATGTTTTTATTTCTTATTCGTCATATTTTTTTAAATTTATTAGTTATGGTCCCTTTAAAGCACAGGTCAAGTCGTAATATTGTTTGTTAGTAATCAAAAAATTTAAGTCTCAAGAAATTCAAGGGAGTTTGCTTCATTTTGTAGATTCACGATTTATTTTTATTCATGATGAATTGTAATGTGATGTGGAAGTCCGCAGTCTTTTAGAGCTCAATAGCCTCCTCGAGACACTACTGTGGCAACAGACGTTTAAAAAGGTGCAAGCCTGCAAACAAGTAGTGGCCGCAAGGCACACAAATGTTCGTGATGAATCAATCTTCTTATTTCGATTATTACAGGCAAAGTTGTACAAGTGGCATCTACTTAACATCTCACTGGAGAGTTGATTTCGGCAGGGACCTTAATAAGGAGGGCGGTTCTAATTCTGGCGGCGGCGAGAAGGTTCTGATTCCCACATATGGAATTAACACATCAACTGACTGCAAAGCCAGTTGAAATGGCTGCAATGCCATCAACTCATTGTCTGTGTTGTCGTTGCAGCCATTGCATTGCACCATCCACTTCA